GTAAGCACTAGAGAAATACCTTATGCAAACAAACTATACAATATTGGTGTGGTATAATTCATAAATCAGCATTAATTAGGCCCTTTTCATTGACTGGAAAGAGTGATGGAGGTGGCATTTGGGGCCTGAAGCAGGCTAGTCAAGTGTCCCACCATTAGCCACACCCTGAGCCAAATTAATTCTGTCTTAACTAGTTTGGATGGATGCCATCTGTGTTAATCAGACCACATCACTGTGGTATCTTGTGCATCGAGGTCAGGGTTGCACTTGAGTGACACTGACAGAAGTAGAGTCTATCAAGTAAAAGGGCAGCACGATTCCGTAGGGGATGTTGTACTGATGTCAAATGAGGAACAATTAAAAGGCACGGTGAGTGAACCTGCAGAAGAGAAGGCTGCAGATCTCTGATGTCCATGGGCCTCCAGCAGGAAAGTAGGTATGCTGTTGTTGAAGGGCATGCAGTTCCAGTACCAGAAGTCACAGGGAGCCATATTTCAGCTCCAGGGGATGAAAAACTTTTCACAGTCACAAGAAAAGTCTAGACCTTCTTTTGAGATATGTGTGTTCTATCACCAGAACAGTTCAAGCCAAAATAGACTAACAATACAGAAGAAATTCTTCAAGGGGATGCTTCAATTGCGGTGTGTTTGAGCTCTGTAACTTTAGAACCCACAGCCAAGGTTCTCATTACATCCCCAGGAAAAAGAAAATAGAAGATGAGTCCTGGCATCCCATCTCCTTATATCTCACCCGAGCCCTTTTCTTTTCTTGTAACATAGTAGGTGGTATGATGCCCTCTGAGGATGTCCCTAGCTAGAGAGAGACCACAGCGGACCACTAGTGATCTCCCAGGAGACACAGACAAGAGCAAACACTCCTCCTATAGCCCAGAAAAGAAGGGAGAATGTGGAGGTTTTAGAACTGAGCCTGGATAGTGGTTTTGCCTTGGTCTCAGAGCCAGGCAAATGAGAGGTTGCTGGAGCCAACTTCTGTTATGGCAGATGAAACTCTTCCTAGTGTTGGATCTGGCCGCTCATTCTGACACTTCTACAGGTTTTAGGCTAAGCCACTGCATTGTTCAAGAGTTCTCCTCTGAGAGTAGGCCTCCTCCTTTACCACAAACAGTTGCTAATTTTCAAGAACTTGATGTAGTTGTCACCTGCTTTGTCCTTGTAAGGCTTTGCAAGCTTTCACTAACTCTTTCCAAGACATTCTATGCAACAATCTTCACACCAGTAACCTACACGTCTGCTTGATGTAGATCAAAGAAACACCATCAACTTTTAGAAAGCTACTCTTAAATGCTGATGGCTTCACCTGGCTAAACATCACACCTGCAGTCTTGTGCACACACACACACACATACACACACACACAGTTCAATGTATTTTTTATTAGCATAATATTTTTTGAGAATTTTTCTCCTCAAACTGTTCTTTTCCAAGTGCTGGGCTTGGTTCCCAGGCCTTGTACAGAACACTAACATTGAGCTACAGTTCCAGCCCAAACTTACACTCTTAATTGATGCATAACAGTTGTACATCTTTTCAGGGCACAATGTGATATTTTAAAATATCTAAACAAGCAATGATCAGATCAGGGTAACTAGTGTATCACCTCAAGTCTTCATTATCTCTAATTATATCTAATGCTCTATTGCTTTGATAAGTTTCTGAAACTCAAACAAATAGAATCACTTGAATTCCTTAAAAGTATTATCTTCTATTTTATGTGTTCAGGTGTATTTGCCTGCATGTATGTCTGTGAAGCACATGTGTGTAGTCCCTTCAAAAGCCAGAAGAGAGTGTCAGATTCCCTGAAATTGCAGTTACAGGCAGGTGTGAGACATATTGGTGCTTGAAATAGAATCAGGGTCCTCTAGAAGAGCAGATACAGTTCTTTATCAGTCTTTTCGGCTCCTAGAATAACTTTTAAGGACATTTGGAAACGGGAGAATGACCATATTCTTTATAGCAAGTTTTTTTTGGTTTGTTGTTTGTTCCTTCTAAAGCTGACTGTACTTACAGATACACTGGACAAATAATGAGAGATTAGTTTCTGTTATTAGTGCAGGAGAGCTTAACAAGACCAGGAAGTCAAGAAATTCATATCTGATTCAAATGGGAAAACAGAAGTTTGGGATTAATAACTCAGAAAAGAAAAAAAGGAAGGGAGGGAGGAAGGAAGGACAATAAAAACAAAACAAAACAATGCATGAAAGCTTACAGAAAATAGGTTATCAGGGACCCCTGGTAAACAGGGTGCTATCAGAGTGACTAAGAAGGCCAGGATGAAAAGGTTCATGGACATGAATGAAGAGTGTAACAGTATATGAGCTGTGGGCATGATAGGGAGGGGCTGAGTACACAGGATGCAGGATGCTTACTGAGAACCCGAACGCTTCCTGGTGTCTAGGGGGTCCCTGAGACAGAGACAGTTGGCTATGGATATGTGTCACGCAGTCTGAGTTCTACTTCCCCCCAGCTCCCTCCTCAGCCATGTCTCCTTCTAGCTCAGGCTGCCTCATCTGTCTGACTGGGTGTCTCATGTCGCCTTAGCACAAATCCCCTTTGATCCTCTCATTTGCAGAGAATTGTGTCACCTCACTCTTGTTTTCCTTTCTTTAGCTGCTCAATTCTTCACCCAATCAGGAGCAGAGTACGTCCACACATTAAGAACGTTATTGGATTCACATATAACAAAAGGATGCTTTGGCTCACTCTGTATATAACTGAACTACTAGAATGTAGGTTACTTCCTCTCCCTTGCACAGGAGGAGTATGTCAAGTTCATTTAGCTTTTCCTGTCCCCTAACAGTAAGTTTTGGTGTAAAACAGATGCCTAATTCTCTTAGCTGCATCTAATCAGGCCTCTCTGAGTCAGGGATTATCCCCTTTTCAAAGTATTAATGGATTTTCAAAGCCAGTTTTCCCTTTTTACAAAAAAGTTCCCAAAGGTGAACTCATGTCACAGTTACCTTCCTAGGTCTCTGCCCAGTCACAAGAGTGCTTCCTGCCATAAATGAGACCCACAAGTCTCACCCGCAGGCAATTGCCCATCCTGGTACACAGGGGAGTTCCTTTCTTTTTGCTTCAGAACAAAAACCACGGTCAAATAGAAACACCAGTGTTGTCAGGGCACCATCCATGGGACAACCCCATCTCCGCATGTGTGCACTGCAATGTTCTCCAGTGCGTTCCAGTCCTTGGGATTCCCTATTACTCATCCCTTAGGGCAAGGCAGTTTTGAAAGTCCCCATAAAATGCAAGTGCCATGTAAAAGAGTAAAATAAAAAATCTGCTTTTAGCTATCAGGAATAAAGTTTAAGTAGATTTGTCTAAATGGGACATGGAACTCAGCAGGGAATTGCATGGTGTGACAGACAAAGAATGGAAAGGACACTTGGCATGGTTCAGGTCTCAAGACCTTGACAGGGAGACACAATATACCCGAAGCACACTTTGCCCCTGCTCAGCTCCTGTTCAAAATGGCATCTATTTCCCAGGCTGCTTCTAAGAGTACCCAAACAGCATCCAGAAACAACTTCCCACAGAGTGTAGAGGGGAGGGCAAGTGTCTAATAAAAGGCTGTGTTCACGAGCTGTGGTCTTCTTCCTCTGTCTTCCTCTAATACTCCTGTCTGCCTGGCTCTGAAAGATGGATGACCAACACTTGCCCACATGCTGGAAGATTTCCCATGAGTCTCCCTCTCCTGCTGGCCCATGTCAGATACTTTTCCATGGTCCTTCTGTGAGTCCTCAGCTGCAATCCCCTGGTTCAGAGACTCCCGGCCCCCAACTACCACTTCATTTTGAAACATGGCCTCTGCACTTTCGGTTTTTCTACTGAAGAAGCTGGTGTGTTTCAGCAGTTTACCTTTTGTGATTTTCCTTCTCCCCATCCATGTCAAAGTCATAAAATCAAGTCCTCCTCTCTACCCAGGGATGATAAAATAACCAAAAGCACCAGACATGGTTTCAGTTAGAAGCCACACACAACCATTTCCTTGTTACCTAATGGTTGTGTCCCTGTGATTAATACTACCTTTCTGTTAGAAGCTTCGGGAATTTAACTTCCCTATATGCCTTTGATACATCCCATATCTAGGACATACGAAGTCAGCAAATATATGCTAAGTGCATAAATGAACTGATATTCAAAACAGATTTCATTTAAGCTTCTACAAATCACATTCATAGTGTGTACAGCCACAAACAGCAGACTTTATGCATAACCACCTCCCAGGCACACACAGGTACTCATTTTAGTCCTGAGATGAGAGTTTGATCTAAGATGAACAGGCCAACTCCTTGATTATTAAAGTTTGAGGAGTGGGAAGTTCCCTTGGCCAAAAGTTGTTTTTCACCTGTCTCTCCAGAAGCTTACATTGCTATTAATGGAAGCAATATTTTAAGCCAATTTGCAAATGCAAATGTGTACACAGCATGAGGAACACAGCAAACCATTGCTTGGACCTCTTTTCCACCTAACAGTGATTTTTTTTCCCCAAATGAGCTAATGGTCTGTAATATTGAGATGAGGAGTTAGGTGGGAAAGAAGAAGGAACAGGCAGGATTTCTGGGCCTGTCAAAGAAAAGCCAAACAGGCAATCAGCAGCAACTGCAGAGAGACTGTGGGAATTCCTGCCCTCCTCATTGCCCCGTATAGGAGATCCAGCAGTACCGGTGCCCACCGAAAACTTTTTCAGTAGCAGAACTGTCGAGAACACCAGTACATCAAAACCAAGAGCAGCTGCCAACTGTTGGTAAGTGGCACCTTCTATTTCCTGCCTGTGCTATGCCTTGGCTCACTACAGCAGATATCTGGATGGAGGAGACTCATTTCTGAAATGCCCCACATCTGATGTGGACAGTCAGAAACTCAAGCGCGACAGGAAAAAGGTTCAAGCATATGCCCTCACCCTCTCTCACCGTGCCCTCTCCTGCTGACTGCCCACCTCTGCACTCTGCCCCAGAAATCACTTCTGTCCCCCATGCTCACCAGGCTGTACATGTCTTGAGGACATTCATGTCACTAGTGCCTCTTCACCGCGGTGCTCAGGGACCACACACGCAAGCACAGTAGCATCCCCGAGGATTACAGGAACTTGAAAAAAAAGTTGAAGCAAAAAAAAGTAATTTTTCCTTCAACCAGAAAAGAGTAAAAGGAGCCTTGTCAGCTCCCCAGGCCTCCAGGCCTCCGTGTACAGAGAGAAATAATCTGAGGACCGAGGAAGAGCTCAGGTACAGAAAGGGGAACTGACTAGAGAGAATGTCACCACAGAACCACAGACAGGGGCTGTGTCCGTGCTTGGTTCCAGATAACTTCTGCTGTCAGGTGGGCATTTCCACTAATGAGAATGACTACAAGTGGGCCCCGGGACAGCCAGCAAGTGTAAAGCCCTGAGGAAAACCCCAAAGACAGCCCCTTCCACAAACACTACAGACACCTCCCCAATTCGCCGAGAGTCCCAGGAGCAAAATCTGTGAAGCCTGTGGCTGACAATTACTGCTCTGTGTGGTTTCACTCCCAACCAGAAAGCAGAGGAATATTTCATGAAGAACAGCTCCATAGATCCTTCTAGAAGTTTCCACACACCTCATTGCTAGATTAGTCTAATATAATCCTAACAGTCTGACTCTAGAATGTTCTATTACTTCTATCCACTATGCCTGGGCAGGGGAGGGGGATTTTCCGAGGGAGGGAGAGAAGTCGCAAGCAGAAGTGTGCGAGGTGTGTGAATGCTCACTGAGCTTTCTGAATCTAAGTCTTTGATACATTTTACACATCTGGGTATATAACCCCTCCCCATACTTGGATCTTTTTTTCTGGTATGCATTAGCGCTCCCTCTAGTCAGCTGGGAGTCTCAGAGGTGAACTCAGGAAGAGAGGCAGCGCCATAGAACGTGTACCAGCTTTCTTAGAGGTTAGCATGGTCCCTGAAGGACTGCAGAAACCTCCAAGGCTGTTTGTTGTTTACTGAGGGAAAGAGTGCGGTTTTGGGGTTGGTGGTCCTTCATCAAATCCTGGCTTGATGACTGGACTCTGGATAAGTCATTGGATATGCTGGAGTCAGACTTCTGTCAACCCATAATAGATTTCCTTGCTGTATGGTCATGAAAAACAAACATGATTATCGTGGTAAAACTTGCAGGTAATTCACCTGGCATAGAGCATACCACAAAGTTAATTGGTGTTCGTTATCACTTTCTCATTTCCTTCTGAGTCTTTCCCAATTCTGACTTTGACCTTTCCACGAAGATCTCCTTTCTGTTAATAGAGTTAGCTCATGTGGTTCTCCCCAGACAGGTCTGAAACTCAGTTACCTTCAGTCCAGGGCTGCTCAAACCATGGGCTCCTGCTGGGACCTGTGTCCTGACTCACCCATTGGCACTCCTCTCCAGTGACTCTATGTGTTTATCGCAGGAATATCCTTTGTTGGGTGGGCTCTATGGGGTTGGGAGGTGCCCTGTGGATTTTACAATCATAATTTTCTTTGATTTGAAGAGGCCCATGTGGGAATTCTTTAATATTTCACTTAGTTTTTAAGTATTCTTTTCCATGAACTCACCAACTAAAATACAAGATGTGGCCTGGAGAGCTGACTCAGTGGTCGAGGGCACTTACTGCTTTATTGGGGGACTGGAGTTTGGAGCCCATCACTCATATCAGGCATCTCACAAATGCCTGCAACCCCAACTCCAAGGGATCTGACATCTCCATGGGTGCGCGCGCGCACGCACGCACACACACACACACACACACACACACACACACACACACACACTCACAATACATCTTTAGATATATACATCAAGATACAGGGTAGGCTGCTATCAGAATTTCTTTTCCTGGGGATAAAATCCAGGGCCTTGTACATTCGAAGCAAACACTCGGTCCACCAAGTTACACCTCCAGCTCCATCAGAATATTTTGAATACCAGACTTCCAGCATTGCAGCTGTTCACACCACTTACCATTATGTGTGTTTTTCTTTTTAACTTCTTTTAAAAAACATTTCTTTTAAATCTTTTTGTTATCATTAAAATGTTTGTTCAAAAGCAGTATCATTTGCTAGAAATAAAAAATGAATAAAAGTAATACATACACTCCACTGCGTTGGGGGACTCCAGAGACCCAGGTTCCTATCTTGGCTGTGCTGCTAATATGTGTTCTCACTAGAGTTTTAACGTCTCCAGGCCTTGCCTTTCTCACAGAGGTAGTATCGAGTCAAGTGTGCTTTCCTTGAGGGTTAGAGTAGATGGCACACATGTGGCACCTGGCACAGACGCTGGCATGGAGTGGGCGTTCGTTCTCTTTGAGAGGCTGTCTCACTGTTTCCCTCTCCCACATCTCTTAGCTACATGCTCAGTCCCTGCTGGGATCAGCTTCTTCCCATGGGTATGTTACAGGGAATAAAGGGACATGCTTGAGTGATGAGGCGGGCGGCTGCGTGAGGGACACATCACAGAATCCTGTCACCATAAGATTTAGAGTTGCAAGGCTATGAAGGACTTTAGAGACAGCTTCAGTCTCTCAAGTCAGGATCTTTCTATGTCCCATTTATATAAATGTGTCTAGCCTTTGCTTTCTCACTTGTCATACTAGCAAACATAGTACCTGTTAAGAGAGCTAGATGAAAATGTCATTTTGATAACAATCTCAAGTCTATTGCTCCTCAGCCCTGGCTCTGACAGTAGCTTTAGAGGCCAGTCCTTTCTTACTTCCTAGAACATTACTATTGGTTTATTTTAGATTAGCTGAAAACAGATACAAAATCCCCCAGTAGCTCCTCTCTCAGTCAATGACCAGAGCTCTGGCTTAGCCACTCTCTATGGGTTATGTGGTCTTTAGGACCCCAATCAACAGCATCTTTTCTCACATCACCCTCTCCCAGAGAGAGCAGCAGAGAGAGCAACATGCTTCCTAGCAGAGTGAGCTCAGCTGTGTAGAAACAGCATGACCACTGATCAGTCAAAGCTCATGTTTATTTGAACACAGTGACAGAGGGCTGGCTTCATATGATTTTCTTTTAACACATTGGCTCAAATCTCTGCTCTCACCCTTCTTGTCTATATGCCAGTGTTCAGGGCCAGCTTTCAGCCAATCAAAAGTCTTCTCTGACTCCCATCCCTGTCATCAGAGGCAAGAGTGAATGGGGTGGCACAGAGTTGGTGGCTCACCATGCAGAACCCTGTCAGGGGCCTGACCTGAATGATCAGTTCCTCGCCTTTGTAGAGGAAGAAGTTACTGGAGCCTTGGAAAGCTGCTTTCTGCCAATACTCTACTTCCTCACTCCCAGATGTCCTCAGCTCAAGCCAGGGCTACAAGGAAAAGCAGTGGAGGGAGAGCAGCCATAGATGGCATTAGGCAGGTGTGGTGAGCAAGCCTTCCAGAGGTCCTCACCCAATCATTGCCCAAGAGATGGTCTCTGGGGGAATACCTACTTGAGACCTAGTCTGTATGGCAGAGCCAGAAACCTGAAAACATTTAGAACTTCCAAACAAATACTTAGGTAGGTATAGACAGAATATTCTGTCCCACCTGGTCCTACAACCTCTTAGTCCCAAATAAACACATAGAGGCGTATATTAATTATAAACTGTTTGGCCAATGGCTAAGGCTTCTTATTTAGCTGTCTCTCTCTTAATTATTAACAAGTTTCTATTAATCTATGTATCTCTACTTTGCCTTGGCTTACTGGTGATGCCCAGTACTCTTGGTCCATTTTTATGGACCCCGACAGGTCCATTTTTCCATTTTAGCCAAAAGTTGACTAAATGCTGCTCCCACTGCCCCATGGCCTGTGATGGAAGATAGTCTAAAAGGATTCTTGATGGTGGTATAAATGGTTTGAATACAGAACAAGCAGTTCCCATAAATAGTTATTTATTGTGGTGTTTATTATTGTTGGTTTTCTGAGCATCCTTGATACAGAGATGTGCATTGGGGTGAGGAAACAACTGCAATGAAGACCCATGGGATAGGTGGCCCTGCATCTCTACTATCTTTCCTCCCTTTAAACTGCAAGGGAAAGAGAACACAAGAGAGAGGAGTGTGGGCTGTAGGGGTAGTGGGCACCCAAGTACCCTTCCTTTCATGCTCCCGTGGTGATGAATTCCTGAGGGGTGGATGCCTCACAGCTCAGAGGCAATAGGCTCAGCTCAGGGTTGCAGTCTCAGCAGATATCCTTTCCCACACTGTATGAGAGGGTAAGACTCATCAGACCATTGTGGGTTCTGCTAGTGCAGGTACTCACATCACTATAGCAACCAGCACAAACTAACAAGCAAGGCCCTTCATCAGACACCAAGTAAACTTGGATTCTGCCTGGACTGGAAAAAAGAAAAAGGAACCCCCAGGGTGACCAGTAGAGTGGAATCTGCTGTCTAAGGGGCAAAACACTAGTTCAGAGGTAGGATTACACTGAATTAAAAGAAACTAAGGAACTTGGCTTCCATACTTTGGAGGTAGGAGGATACTGACTTCAAGACCTGTCTGAGCTACAGAGTGAGTTCAAGACCAGCATGGGAAACTTAGTGATGCTGCCTCAAAACAAAAAGTGAAAATAAAGTTGAGGGTGTAGTGTAGTGACATAGTACCTGTCCAGAATGTATAAAATCCTGGGCTGGGTTTAATCCCAGTAACACACACACACACACACACACACACACACACACACACACACGCACGGCACGCACGCATGCACGCGCACACACACACACACAGAATGTGCAAAACCATGGATTCAATCCCAGTAACACACACACAGAGACATGTACACATGTACATGCATGCGTGCATGCGTGCGTGCGCGCGCACACACACACACACACACTAATAAGGAAAGTGACTATTTTATGTGTATTCATATTTCTGAACAGAGTTCAAATTCTGTAAAAACTATCACCCATGTAAGGACAATTAAATATGTCTGTGGACAGAATTCCTGAAAGTCCTTTTTTTCCTCAAAAGTAAAAAGATTTATTAATTTTTATTTTATGTCTGTGAGTGTTTTGCCTCAATGTATGTTTGTGCACTGTGTGTTCAGTTCCCATAGAAGCCAGAAAACTGTGTAGGGTCAATACCCTGGGACTAGAGTTAAAGATGATTGTGGGCCACCATGTAGATACTGGATACTGGGTCCTCTGGAAGAGCAGCCTGTGCTCTTAACGCTGAGACATCTCTCCAGC